AGGCAGACTCTCTCCCACAGGTCACCCACCTGCACAGCGGGACTGCTCATTTTCATTTTTCATCTCCTCCATCACATGATGCTGACAGTTGGTTTTAAGAAAATTGAATCCAAAAAATATCTAGTTCATAGGGCACATGGGTCAGAACAAAATTGCATTATGGGTACCGGCGATCCAATTAATTAATATTTATAGCTGAGAAGCTCTATGTAGATATTTCTGAATAAGGATTTTATCAATAAAACCCAATTTCTTGTTTAAAACATTCATTTCCAGAGAAAGAACACTATAAAAGCAGAAAGCAAGATAAAAATGGCATCCATTAATCTAATGATTTATAGACCTATGAATTGCTGTGCACATAGCTGAGCTTATAATTTACATTCGTTGTTCATTTGCATTATGTGTGCAGTCTGCTTTAATGATCTATTAAATGTAAGGGAAGGATTTGCATTACTATTATATTTTACTTCCCTATTAATGTCGTAGACCCTCTCTCCTTTCACCTACATCACCAGCCATCACATGTATGATTGCATTTAGGTTTTAAAGAATTTTTCTAGCAGTAAACTCACCTACCTTGAAAACTGGAACTGATATCAGTGTTGCCCAAGGAGGGAGAAGGGACATCGCCTGCTGCTGGTGAATGATGTCAGTCAGGGCCCTTGGCACAATTTGAGCTGTAGAGTCATCTCACAGGAATGGGGGTCTAGCTCTCATTGGCACCTCCCTTTCTTTTCTTTTCTTTTATTTTAATTTTTGGATACTTTCATTAAATGTCTGACCTCAAACCTAACTAAATGGACTTATCCATAACACTGCTAACCATTTATTATCCAGTTACTATTACTTAAGGTAATTATCCGATTAGGTACATGTAATTCTTCTGGAAATTACACTTAAAGAATCAGGACAAAGACAAGGACAAACACTGACAAAAAAAAAATATGTAATATCAAGAATAATAACATGCCATGGACTATGGTGACAGTATAGTTTATTGTTACATGAAATCAGATATACTGAAAAGCAAAGCATTCTTTTATATGTTTTATTTATTTCATAGAAAGGAAAGGAGAGGAAGAGAGAGATAGAAACATCAGTGATGAGAGAGAATTATTGATCAGCTGCCTCCTGCACATCCCCTAAGGGGATCAAGCCCACAATCCCAGGCATGTGCCTGACTGGGAATTGGACCCGTGACCTCTTGGTTTATGAGTCAGTTCTCAACCACTGAGCCACACCATTCTGGCCTGAACCTCTGTTTTTGATAGATCCCTTTGTGTGACTGACCTCTCCTTGTCACATGTCCACATCCTGTTCCATCTCTAAGGCCCAAAACAAGTCTCACTCATATTATGAAACTTTTCTGGTTTCTAACAAGATGTGAGAACCACATCTCTCCTTGCAAGGTGTGGGATAGGGGCCAAGGCAGTAGTTTCCATGTAATTATTTCTGCTAGGGTGTGACTTTTTGAAAGAGAGATTTGATAAAGGCATTTCTGGACAACCTGGCAGGGGTGAGAGGTGACTAAGTGACCCCCATAGAACTGTCCCACAGCAGCAACTGTCCCACAGCAGCAACCATTTGAGATAACAGCTGAGGTAGCAAAGGGCCTATATGTGTTGTCCATTTCCCCCCAGGCCTCTCCCTCCACCCCACACTTCTCCCAGAAACGTAAGGTAAGGATTTTTTATTACATTTGGCTCAGACACTGAGGACAGAGAATTCTTAGGAATAAAATGTTACCCCTTCTTCTCTCCTTATACCAAAATGAACTAAAAATGGATTAAAGATCCAAATGTAAGGAATAAACTCTCAGAAGAAGACATAGTGGTAAATCTTTATTGCCTTAGGCTTGGTGATGGATTTTTAGATCTGACACCAAAACCATAAGCAACAAAATAAAAAATGGATAAATTGGACTTCATCCAAATTAAAATTTCTTGTGCATCAAAGAACAATATCAACATAGTGAAAGGCAATCCACTAAAAAGCAATAAACATTTGCAAATCAAAATACAAATATTTAAAGAGCTCCTACAACTTAATAACAAAAGAGCAATAACAAAGGACTTGAATTAGATATTTCTCCAAAGATAGACAAATGACCAAAAACCACATGAAAAGGTGCTCAACTCCATTAATAATTACAGAACTACAAATCAAAACTGTGGTGAGATACCAGTTCCCACCCACTAGGATGTCTATAATCGGGGGGTGGGAGGGGAGATAATAAATGTTGGCAAGGGTATGGAGAAATTGGAAAATTTGTATATTGCCAGTGGGAATATAAAAGGATGCAGCCACTGTGGAAAACAGTTTGCCAGCTTCTTAAAAAATTAAATACAGTATTGCCTTATGGCCCAGCAATTTCATTCCGAAGTATTTACCCATCAGAATTGAAAACAGGTATTTAAACAAATACTTGTATATGCATATCTATAGCAACACTATTTGCAGTAGCCAAAATTTAAAAACAAGCCCAAGTGTGCCCGAGTTCATGAATGGGTAAACAAAATGTGGAATATCCATAAAATGGAATATGATTCACCATTAAAAAAAGAAGAAAGTATCGAAACCGGTTTGGCTCAGTGGATAGAGCATCAGCCTGTGGACCGAAAGGTCCCAGGTTCGATTCCAGTCAAGGGCATGTACATTGGTTGCAGGCACATCCCCAGTGAGGGGTGTGCAGGAAGCAACTGGTCGATGTATCTCTCTCATAGATGTTTCTAGCTCTCTCTCTCCCTTCCTCTCTGTGAAAAATCAATAAAATATATTTAAAAAAAGAAAAGAAGAAGAAGAAGAAGAAGAAGAAGAAGAAGAAGAAGAAGAAGAAGAAGAAGAGGAGGAGGAGGAGGAGGAGGAGGAGGAGGAGGAGGAGGAGGAGGAGGAGGAGGAGGAGGAGGAGGAGGAGGAGGAGGAGGAGGAAAGGACTGATACATGGTACAATATTAAAAACATTATGTGGCTGAAACCGGTTTGGCTCAGTGGTAGAGTGTTGGTCTGCGGACTGAAAGGTCCCGGGTTTGATTCTGGTCAAGGGCATGTACCATTGGTTATGGCCACATCCCCGGTAGGGGGTGTGCAGGAGGCAGCTGGTCGATGTTTCTTTCTCATTGACATTTCTAGCTCTCTATCTCTCTCCCTTCTTTTCTGTAAAAATTCAATGAAATATATTAAAAACAAAACAAAAAACAAAAAAAAACATTATGTGAAGTGGAAGAAGCCAGACACAATAGGCTGCATGTGGTATGGATGTGTTTTTATGAAATATCCAGAACAGGGAAGTACATCACACAGAAAGCAGATTAGTGGTTGTCAAGAGGTGGAGCGAGGGCAGAAAGGGTGTGACTGTAAGGAAACCTTTGGCACAGCGATCGCCAACCTGTGGTCCTCGGACCACCAGTGGTCCATGATGTCTGGAAGGCTGGTGACTGCTGGTTTAAAGGACATGGGGTCTCTTTGGGAGATGACAAATGTTTTGGAGCAGATAGAGGTGATGGCTGCAAACATTGTAAATGTACTAAATGCTTTCATATGGAATTTCAGCTCAATTAAAAGAAAAAAGATGGAAGGTTAATCTTCAAAAAAATCATCAGAGTAAGCCGGAGAAATGAGCAGAGGTGGAGAGGATGCCACCCTCAACTATAAGACTGCAACTTTTTGTTCTCTTGGTCAAGGCAGGGCCATGCAGTGGTGAAGTCCTTGGTACTACAGCCCACATGGGCTTGGGGTAGGCTGTGGAGAGAACGGGTAGATTCCCTCTGGCCTGACCAATTTTGATGTCTTATGTAATTTAAGAAAAATGAATGATGTATGATTTTTTTTTCCATATAACAATTTTCTCTTTTCCTCTTTTCAGGATTAAGTTGTCATCTTTCTGGGAAGAAAAAAGAAAAAACATTAATGAAGTGGCCAACAAGAGGAAGGGAATCATGGATCAGTTTCCTTTCACTCCCTGTGGTGGATTTCACTTACAAGAAAATTGAAGCTGGCAAGACCCTGCTTTCTCTGCAATTTATTTAAAACCTTGCACGCATTTGGATACCTTGTGATTCCCAAGAACTATGTGAAGATTAAGCTTCGCTTACTGATCCATGGCATGTATTCTTTTCAGTCTTTTGTGTTTGATTTTGTTTGATTTCCCTCAGCAGCGCAGCGTCTCTGTGAAGGTTTTTATGCTTTTACCAACCATGTCTTAAATGCATTAAGACAACACATCTGGTGTTCACACTTCTTCAGTAATATCTGTACTTGAAAGCCACACAGTGGCATGAAACAATGTGCGCTTTCCTGGAGACCACTGCACACTTTGCAACCACTAGGAAGGAAATGTTTAGCTAAAGCAAACCCATGTTCTCTGACTGTTTGGCAACTCAGTCCCTGGCTGTGGGCTCCCCCTGCCCCTTGTCGCCTACCTTTTGAGGACATTTCCCAGTGTGGGTTTTGTTTTTTTCTTCTTCTTGGAAATACCACACCTTTATATAAGATATCAGAACCTGCTTAGCATTTTCAAGCCACATAGCATGACTGTTTTTCCAAATAGGCTGGAAAGGTGAACAACCAAGTATCAAGCGTTAAGATCAAAGACGGGGATGAATTGCTTCCTTTTCAACCTCCAGAGCTCGAGGTGACTTTGCACGTGTGTTCTGGATCTCGTCAGCATCTTATTGTTTCCATCCTCTCTCTGACACGTGGTGTTCTTTTAGTGGAGAAAAGAGTGAGGAACAGAGCGCTCGAAACTTGGGTGCACAGGATCGGATCGGCTGCATGAGCGCTGAAAGCCATCTTTGCTAGTTAACATTCAATAAGCAAGTGACGAAGGGATCCCGAGTTAAAAATCGGCTCATTTACATCAGAGCACCTTTCAATGACGTGATGAAAATATTCCAAGCTGACTGGAAGCCATTTTAGGGACCCTGACTCTACCCTGTCTCCTGGAAAAGAAGCTGTTTGAATGCAGGTTTTAGAAGCAATACAGGACTCATGCTTTAAAGATGGGGGTGGGGAACAGAAAGGCCGGCTTCCCCTGTTGGAGGGGTTGGGAGGCCTTGGAGGATGAAGGCAAGGATGTGACACGGAGTGAAACGTGGGTGGGGGTGCTTGTGGAGCTTTGTCTGGTGGAGGCTGTCTCCCGGGGGGACAGGCCTCCCTGCAGGATCCCAGATCATCCTCAGGCCAAGGGGGTGGTGAGGAAAGTCATGGGAAGCATGAAACCTAGCTCCTCAGGACACAGGTTCCTATGGAAACACTTCCTGTACGTGGTTTTACGTTTTCCTATTAGTCAGAAAGGAGGAGAGACCAAGAACTTGAAATGCATCGCACTTTGGGGGACCAAGTCTAGGAATTGTGAGCCAGTTTGACAAAGACTTTCTGAGAGTCAGGTAAGAGAAAATCTTTTCTATAGTCAAATCCAGTATACCTAGGGACTTGGACCCAGACTTCCTAAACATTAAAATGATCCCGTCCCTGGAGTGACGTGTGAGTATATAATACAATCAAGGTCACAATCCATCGTACTCAGAAGTAGCATTCATTGTGAGCTCCTAAGTGTTAATTGAGGAATTATTTACTGGTTGGTATTAAAGGAAAGAAAAGTTACTCGAGGCTAGAATATTTACTATTCGCTACCCAGAAATCTTTCCCATTCTTCTTTCATACATTCCAACTCATTAGTAGTCTTTACAGGTATTTTGCTTTGTGTATTTAAATTAGGACTTCTGACAGAAAATATGGAGACAGAAACCTTATGCACAATTAAAGACAGCCTTGCCTATGATTCGTCTTGAATTATTCATTTGGGGGAGAGGCATACCTTTTGTATTTTACTCACTTAAAACCAAGAGCAACCGATGATTAAGTCTTGCCATGTAATAAGCTTTCTAACTTGAACATTTGAAAATATTTAGTGTTAAAATACTTCCATTAGCAATATTAGAGTCATTCAGAGATAGGGTCCCTGTCCCAGGCAGCTTCTGTTGGGGAGAGGAAACAGGCTAGTCCTCGGCAGAGGTTAATGTGTTTTATTAGGGAGACAGGCCGCTCCGAAGATTTTGTTTAGGAACTTTTAGTTCCCCCTCCTTGCCATCAGTACAGAACATCCAACGTTTGGTTTGCCTCTCCCTCCTTTCCTCTTGCATTTGCAAACGTGTTCTCCCAGTCCCCACCCCCACCCACCCTTCTCTTCCCACTGTCTCTAGCGGAGGGCAGCCATGAAAATCATCGCAGAATGCATCCATTAGCAGATTTATTGTTCCATTGAGAAAGCACTGGAATGTTTTGTGAGATTATTTTTATAGGAAGGAGTAGCTTGACTTCAAACAGCTGGACCAACATGGGGACTGTATACACACACAGTATTTCAAAAGGAAATGCGGGACTTCATGTCCATGTTTTTAAAAGAGCAGTGTGGCTGACTTAACAATACAAGTTATATAGAACATGAAGAAAAAAAAAAATGTACGTTTGCCGTGCACAGAAACAACGGGGTGTAAAGCAGGGGTGGCTGTCCACTCACTGAAACTCGGTGAGAAGCTATTTCTACCTCGCAGGAGTGATGAGAAAAGTTCCAGGGGTGCCTCCTCCAGGCTTGCAGAGAAAGCAAGGCCTCTGGGCACCCTTCCCTCGATGTATCCATGACAACCAATGTAATCAAAGCCCTCAGTCATGTGTCTCTATAAGATACTCATCTGTGAATATGACTGGTTTTTGTAATCTTTGTTATATAAGAGGAAGTTTAGGCTGTACATACTGGGGTAGATTATTGCCTGCCCCCTATACATAGGAATATGCTGCAGAATTGTGCATAATGTCTATCTCCCTTACTGGCTTGTAGGCAGAGGAAACCACATATGTTACTGCCTTGCAATCCTCATACACCAAAAACAAACAACAACAAAAAAGCAAAAAAAATAAAAAATAAAAAAACCTCAAGTAAAATCAGCAATCTCCTATTCTCATTCCCTTCTCACAGCAGCATATTTTAGAGGCACAAATAAAATCTACATTCTCTAGTTGGCAGTGGATTTTTTTTTAATCTTTTTTTTTTCCTGTAAGATACACTGAGATGCGTACTTTCTAACGGTGGTTGGTACCTAAGAAATGTGCTAGCATCATTCAGAAACCTATTATTCTTCAAAATAACATATAGTAAGGAGAATGGAGTAATACATGTTGCATATTTGTTCCCAATTGTAATTTGTCTGTATTATGAAAGACGTAATGGTTTGTCAGCTGTCACTGTTGTTTTCTTGTAACATGATACAGAATAAAAAGAATCTCTGTACATTTTCTTGGTAGGTCTTCTGGGTGAGTACCCAAAACACCATACACCGTGTCAAATCAACACCCTCTGGAAAATTCTTAGGCACAACCATCCCCAAAGAGAGAAGTAGGAAACAGAACACACAATGCCCTTGGATGTGGGAAGGAGTGAGTCGGCTGAGATGTTGGGGAGTCTTCTAACCCCTCCCTCGCCTCGCTTGGAGAGGCCACATTTAGGTGAAGTGCAGGAGGCTCTGCCCTCGGGGGTCCTCACAACCCCCAGCTCCTTAGGACACTCACCACATGTTCTCTGCATCTGGAGCCAGTCTGGCCCCGTTTAGCGACAACCCTGTTTATGTGTATTACTTCTTGTTCCTGGTTTTCGCATGTGTCCTGAGGTGAGGTGAGTAGGTTACTCTCCACTGAAAACAAATCCCAGCTTTGCCACTGAACACACTTCCCTGACCGCCACCTCATGGGGCTGCACCCGAATGGGCAGGGAGCTTGCACGGGGATTCACATGTGCGGGTGCGGGTGTTGGTGTCCTTTCTATCACCACCTCCTTGTCAGATTTTCCAGCTTTATAACTTGAAAGAACCACCCCCCGAACTGATAAATTGCTAATAAAGTCCCTATCAGATACAGTCGTCGATGTATAGCTATGATGTTCCATGACTTAAAAATGTTTATCCTTGAAGGTAAAAAAAAATCCAAGTTCATGTCTCATGTTAAAAGGGCACAGGCCCCTTGCTCTCCCCTGGGCAGATCCTCACCTACCAGCAGCTCCAGACCCCGGTCTTCCTCCCCTTGTTCTTCCTCGTTTCTAAGCCCTTTGTAAACTAACATTCTCACAAACATCCGTGTTCTCAGCTGACGCATGTGCCAATCCAGAAAAGCTCACAAGAACCTGTGCATCTTCCACCCCCTGACTGCCCTGCTGGTTGCCCTGCAGCAGCGACTCACCCACCGAAGGCATTGTCACCATCCTGTGCCCCTGAGGACTCTGGGACATGAAATGGGGACCTTCGTGGTACCAAGGTAGAGATAATGGGCACATTTCTTAGTTAAATGGGAACCACATAATACCCTGGAACTGGTTAGGATTATAGAAGCGCCGTAAGAACTCACTCCTCAGGGGTCATTTCAAGGGAGGAACCGTGTGCCGCTGCCCATCTTCCCACAGCCGTGGAGCCCAGGGGCCCCTTGCTGAGGCCACTGGCAATCTCAGCAATGGGCTCGCATTTTAGAGCCTGACTGTGTGCCTGAGGTGTAATCCCAGGAACTCTTAAAAGACAAGGGTGGCAGGCTGGTATCTATAAGATAAAGAAATAGCTCTGGAAAATACTTTTATTGATTTCAGAGAGGAAAAGAGAGAGGGAGGGAGGGAGCATCAATGATGAGAAAGAATCATTGATTGGCTGCCTCCTACATGCCCCACTCGGGGGATCTAGCCTGCAACCTAAGCATGTGCCCTTGACCGGGAATTGAACCATGACCTCCTGGTTCATAGGTTGACGCTCAACCACTGAGCCAAGCCGGCCGGGCTAACTTTTTCAATGTGGCAGCAGAGATGACATCATTTCCTCCAGCTAGGGCTTTCCAGCCCTGCCAGAAGTGGGGATGTGTGCTCGCTGAGGCAAGCAGTGAGAGTCGGGGGGCGTTCAGCATTCCTAAACTGGCTCCTGCCCCCCCCCCCCAGGGTAAAGAGAAATGGGGAGGGTGTTAGAACAACCTGAGCCCTTAGGCTAGCACACCGTGGCTGCCTGATGGCAGGCACCGCAAATCGCTGCAATGAGTACCTCACGGCGGCCCAGCAGCCAGCTGCTCCCAGTGGGTGGTGGCGTTATGGGCATTAGCTGTGAGAAGCTTATACAGCAGAGGGGGCTAGGATAAAGGACACAAATTGGGGAGGGGGCGGGGGGAAACTGACAAGATTGTAAAATCCAAGGCCTCGTATTTGCTGTTGGTCCCCCATGCTCTCTCTCACTGTGCTATATTGTCTGCGTTGAGTCCTGCTGAGGGAGAGCCGGGGCACAAGAATAGCTGGGAGCAGCCTCGTGGCCCCGAGCCAGCCTCTGCCAGTGGTGCTGACTGTGCTGGTGGAAAATGGGATCCTAATAGAGTTGTCTTCTTTCTCCTTCTCTGCAAGACCACCAATAATTGTGGAGGGCACGTGGTACAGGTGGGGTCAGGGTTCCTCCCCTGCCGGAGATTATCCTGAGAAGTGGCCCAGCGTGGGTGCCGGGGGAGGCCCCTGCCAAGGTGCCTGGCAGACGTAGACAACGCTGGGGGCCTGCAGGGACACGTGCTAGACGCAGCCGTCCGAGGACTCAGAGAGGTTGCTTGGGGCGCGGGGTGCACGAAGCAGTGTGCAGGTGACGTTTTATTGAGTTGTACACTGGAAACCTGCATGGTTTTGAGAACAAATATCACACCAATACATTCAATTTAAAAAATAAAATAAAATTGAGGAAGAAGAATAACTTTTGCATTTAAAAAAAAAAACACACAACACTTAGCTTTACGTATCATGATACAGTGTGAAACAATCAATGATTCTTTTCCCTCCCTCCACCTCCAACCAAATCAAGTCATTGGGTCCCTTGCATCCTCAAAGAAAGGCTACCTCACTCTGCCTAGTACTTGGAGAATTCAGGCCTCAGTGAATCCTCACCCTTAGGGAAAGTTTCCAAAACACCCCCACCCCAGACCGATTCATTCTAGAAATATTGAGGTTTGGGCCCTGGCACTGTCTGTTTTGGGAGCTCAACAGGTGACTCTATTGTGAGAACTGCTAGACGCTGCCCTTTCTCTGTAGGAGGGTAGGCAAACTCCTTCTGGAAGGGCCAGAGAGTAGCTTTCCACGCTGGACAGTCTCTGTAGCAACCACTCTCCCTGCTGCTACACACATGGATGAGCTGTGTCCAGGGAAACAATGGATGGGCACTGAAGTTTGTACAATTTTCATGTCATGAAATATTTTTCTTTTCATTTTAAAAACTAATTTAAAATGCACAAACCATTCTTAGCTCACAGCCTGTACAGAAACATGCAGTGGGCGGGGATTGCCTGCAGCTATGGCTAGCTTACCTGGGCTCAG